CGAATACATTATAAAATAAATAGAATGCATAGTATGTAGCTTGGATACATTAAATACTGGCTTGAATACATTAATATGTAGCTCGAATATATTAAAGAAATAAGGGATCTTAGAGGTTTTTAGAAATAGAAGGGAGGATTAAAACTACGAGAATCATAAGACGTTTATTTCAGTAATTTTTTTTATTTATATAGTGTGTGCGGCTCGAGATACGCGGGGTCTCTAAATGGGCCCTGACTCACAAATTGAAGCCCACATATTGACATTTGCCAGTGGGCCGTTAATCACGGAAAGTATTGGCCCACCAAGTGCGTTGGATGCTCTGTTTGTATTAGTTTTTACTGTTAATAATGTCATCTAGCTGGTGTCACACACTGCCTTTGCTTTTCTCCCCCATGTGTTATTTTGCAGCCAAAAGCAAGTACAAATGCTTTCTACTATATTGGGTTGGGGGTGGGGTGGGGGAGTTGGGGGTTATGATTGAAGGATCGTAGTATAGTTTTTCGATGAAGGATGTCTGATTGGCTGCTCTGAACTATATGTGGCTACGTGATAGAATGTATACGTCCATTAACAATCAATGGATCAATTTCGTTGACAGAATAACATTGTGGAAAATAAATTAACATAAAGTTAATATAGAGATTTTACGTGGAAACCTTCTTACTGAAGGGAGGAGAAAACCACGACCCCTGTCTTTACGGGATTTCCACTTCAACTCCATTTACCACAAAATAGAGCGCAATTCAATTTACAAACTCAAGTAATGTAAGAATTATCTTACTAATTCCTTCTCTCTTATTGTAACAACTTTGTTACCAAACAAGAACTAAACAATATCTATGTTTCCCCACTATACTAGCTAACTCTAGCCAAAATATATTTCAAAGAACACATCAAGGGTAAACTCCTATGCAACTTTACCTAAGAGAACATCAAACAAATGTTGAAAAGAGGCTTGACTAAAATATAGATACGATTAACTAACTTTAGTAGATTCGACTCAAATCAAATATTTAGGCAAGCAATCGATCTAGCTCATTTATAACTCAGGAATAGATCTACAATATATGAACACAAGACACAGAACTTGACACACAACAAAAGATGCTACACCACATCATTAGGTCTCTCGATGAGTATAAACAATGTTCTATCTTGAAGATGACTTTGCTTTGTAAATGAACTTTTTGAAACGCAAAAACTTGTCAATGAATAGGGGACATATATTAAAGGATATGCACAAACACATGAAGCAATGTCATTGATTGAGGGTCAGGCAAGACGCGCACCAACCAGAACAGGTGCTATAGAGTTGCAGCTTTAGCTAGCTGTCACTTTCATTTTACACGCATTCTCAATTTCACATGAGATTTGGTCCCCCGCTAAATTTGAAATTCGTTTAATCATCAAAACTTCAAAAATCAAATAACATTTTCTCCTTTTTGATGATGACAAATTTATTCAACTTCTTCCCCCCTCTCCCCAGTTCTCTCTATCAACATGACACGAACCAACAACCCTACCTTAACTTTGTAATCTTTCTACTTGCCTATACATTGATAGATAAAACGGGATAATGCACAACTATCCCCTCAATCTATGTCCGAAATTTCAGAGAAACACTTATACTATACTAAGGTTTTATTACAATCCTGAACTTATTTTATTAATAATTTTCTACCCCTTTTCGGCCTACGTGACACTATCTTGTGGGTGCAACGTTGGTTGATTCTTTTTTTCAAGCTAGTGCCACGTAGGCCCAAAAGGGGTAGAAAATTACTTATAAAATAAGTTCAGGGGTAATAAGATCTTAGTATAGTATAAGTGTGTCTCTGGAATTTTGGACATAGATTAAGGGGATACTCGTACATTTTTTCTTTTACTAATTATATATATTGCTCAAAAATAGAGCAAATATATCATAAAATTAATTGAAATACGCATGAATCGACCAAATTTTATTTAACTCGATTTTAAACTTGAAAAGATTTTGAATGAAAAGCTAATTATTATACACAATATTATAATTGTCCCCTATGGTCAACAATTAAACCAGACATAATAAGACTTTCACATGTTCTCTCTCTCCAAATAATTATATCAAGTCAGGCCTCAAACAATAATTTCAATAAGGAAAAAAAGTGAGAATATCAAAATAGATCTTTTTTTTTCAAAGATAAATTACAAAAGATAATGATAAAAACAATAAAATAACATATAAATGCATAAAATCCAATTTTATTTGTAAAAAAACTCCTACTGACCAAAACAAAAGGAATGGAACTCTAAATATATAGAGTTAAAATCATTTTTTCTTGACTATAATTTTTCAAATATGTGTAAATATCTTTGAAAAATATTTTATAATAATTTAATGTAAATTACAACTATATTTGAAATTACATTAAAAAGCAATTAGTATAATAATAGAGCCGCTAATAACGCCTAAAATTTGGATTACTTTATCTTGTTAGTTAAAGTGGATCAACAAACATCTTGTACTTAATTTTTTTTACTCCCTTCAATTTTGATTAAAAATTAATAGTATCAAGTTTTTAAAATTAGTTTATTTTGAAATGTATTTTCTTTTTTAAAGAAAAAACAGATTTGGTTCAAAGAAGTTGGCTAGTCAGCTTGAAAAATACTTTTGAACAACAATTAATGTTTGAACAAGTTTTTTCGAAAAGAGTTTTTTAGTGTATTTTTTTTTATAAATAAAATAGATTTTTTAGCTTATGAAAAGAAACTTGTATTTTTCTTCCAAAATAATTAGTATTGTCCTAAAAGCATAGTCAAACATCCCACTATTTTAAAAGGAAAAAAATACCTTTAACCTTTTAAAAGCTCGATCAAATATATTATAAATTTTAACTTCATATGATAAAACAACAATGTCCTTAAAAAAAACTAAATTTTTGTAGTATTAAATTTAAAACTTCATAAAATTATTTTTTATATATTTGAATTTATAAAGTTATATAAATTGTATACCTTCAAAATATATAACGTGAAAAAATATATTTAGGGAATGAGGATGGGGTATGGGTCACTATTATTGTATTAGATTTTTTTAAAAAAATGACTTATAAATTAAAAATTATAATTTGAAAATACTTGATTTTATCTTTTTTTATTGTACCTTTTCGATATTTATATATTTCCCAAACACTTTCAACAATGTATAAAAAATGTTTAAAAGTCAATAACTACAAAAATAAGCTAATCAAAACACCAATTAGGACATGTATTGAGTGATTTGAGTTCCTTCTAATTGACCAAAAAAATATTTTAAAAAGTAATTTACTTTAATCAAACTTAAATGATTTTTGAATAATTGTTTTTATAGTCGTGGTGTCTAGCCTCTAGATCAACTTACGCATACCTCAAATAATTTCACAAAATATCTATCACGTCCTACAAATAACAAATACTAAATAACTCTATCAATCAAGATTATGACAATTAAAAAGAAATCATCTTAGTTCTTTTTGTGTGTGTAAAAGCCGATCAACAATTCAAAAATCCAACAGGTATATGTTTTATAAATGTAATCACGTTTAAGTAGATTGTCATTTTATGTCATATATGTGAATGGAAAGACCTCATGAAACAACTCCCGCATTAATACACTCTTTCTTAATTTATATAACATATTTCTAATTTCAAAATTTAAACAAATATTTATTTTATTTATAACTTTATATATCTTTTAAATATATTATAAATTATCAATTATAAATAACTTATATTACTTTTACGTTTATGTAGTTTTAAAATCTATAAAATTAAACTATACTTGATTTTCAAAATTCAAATCGTGCCATATAATTTCCGCTAAAAAAAATAATAAATCATCCAATAACAAAAAAAAAGGAAAAAATAAAATAAAAACAGAAACTTCCAAAATTCCTCATTGTTGTTACTATATTTGTGAAAACGGTTCCATTTTCACGTAAATTGTTGACTTATTTCCCTCATCTTTTAATGTATGTATTAATGGACTTTGGATTACATAAAAGTAACAATTTAATGTCTTTTTTGTATATATATAAAATATTATTGTTTAATAAAAGAAATTAAAATTGTATTTTTAAAAGTAAAAAAGTGAAAAATTATTTTCTACCGTGGACCCCAAATTATCCGTTCAAACGAAGCAATTCCATTGTAGCGTAAAGTACCCACTAAAATAAATAATAAAAAATCCATAATTACGTACTCCTTCTGTTCATATTTATTTGTCATAATTTTTTTCAAAAGTTAATTTGATTAATTTTTAAATTTAAATTAAATTATATTAATTTGATATTTAAAATAAAAAATTAGATATTCAAAAATTATATGAAAAATACTATAAATTACAATCTTTTATATATCAATATGATGAAAAAAACATCTTAAAATATTAATCAAAATTCTTATAGTTTGACTCTAAAAATAAAAATCATGTCAATTAAAAATGGACGAAGGAGTATTACTTGAATTAAAAATAGATATAAAGACTAAAGTGCTACTTTTAATTTCTATCCGAATTTATTTACTATAATTTACGTTTCGACAGTCAAACTTTTTAATCTTATCATAAATTCTAATATAATTTTTTTTAAAAATGTTTGAAATAAACTTTATATTTCTGAAAATTACATAAAGTGATAGAATTTCCTCTACCTATTTTTATGATAAAATTAATTACTCTTTTTGAATTTTACACCTACAACTAATATGACCTTTCTGAGTTTAAACAAATTTTGAAAATTCAAATTTTTTTTTCAAGAAGTTAATTAATACGAATTAAGAGTAAAACAAGAAAATTAATCAATCTAATAATGACTACTTAATCACCTACTATGAGACGGGGGTAGGCTAAGCCCTAATGAGATAATTAATATTACTTAAAATGACAAAAATACCCTCCTCTATGTTGTCTCCATAAGTAGTCCTCATTTCCCACTCTTCTCAAACCAAAAATACATTTTTCATAATACTTTTTCTAACTTCAAAAAAAAAAAAAAATTAAAAATGGAGATTTTGAAGTTTTTTCTAATAATTATTTTAGTAATTTTAGTAGGAGTAGAAGGTAGAATTCCAGGTGTTTATAGTGGTGGATCATGGCAAAATGCTCATGCTACTTTCTATGGTGGTAGTGATGCTTCTGGTACTATGGGTAAGTATACTCGATTTCTCGAATTTAACTTATGTATACTGACAATATAATATTATAACCAGAGTGACAATAATGGTTATAAGTTTGAACATAATTTAATAACTTTGGTTCAAATTCTGAGTTTGCATTTTAACTTTTTTTAATTTTATTTAATATGTAGGAATAATCTTATTTTAAGTACTTAGAAGAACTACTAATGTTGGTTTCGAATTTATAAACTAAAAATTATGACTCCACTTTCAATTATTTCGTATTATTTTAACTTGTTGTAGCAGGTAATTTTGAGGTGTAGAAATTTTTAAACTTTACAAGTTTGTGTTTGATACTTGATAATTATAATAATTTGCTACATTATGATGTCAATTATACTGCATTTTTTCTGGTTTTATTTATATTTTTGATTTAGAGTAGGTTTTGTCCTTTTTTTGTTGTTCTGTTTTTGTAGATAGATCTTGTTCTACTTTAAAATTTGCATTAAATCTGATATTTATCATACTAAATATATGTCGAATATATTAAAATACTATTTTATTTTGTGGTGTTAAAATCTTGTCAAAAGAGAAAAGAATATTCTTTTTAAAGTGAACTAAAAAGGAGAATAATATTTAACTTGTAAATATTGATAATTACACCATTAATACATTTTAGCATGTCATAGTAGGTAATATGACTAATTTAGTAAAATATTATTTGTAGCTAGCTAATTATCAATTTTTCACAATGTTAAAAGGTTCTAGTCAAGTTACTTTATGACTATAAAATACCCCTCTTCGTTTAATTTTATTTGAGTGGTCATAAAATTTTTCTGAATTGTTTAATCCTACGCTAAAAATATGTATAAATGTATCAAATTTTTTTAATCTTGCGATTTAAACTATATCACGTGGGATCTTGAAACTAAAGAGTTGTCATATTAGGTAAGAGTCGTTTCTTTTTACACAGACAACGAAAATAGCTCGTAACAATGTAGATATCTCTCTACTCTGAGAACATCGTATGACTAAATTGTTTCAAACTAGACTCATAAGACGTTCAATTTACAGGCGGGGCATGTGGATATGGCAATCTTTATAGCCAAGGGTATGGTGTAAACAATGCAGCATTAAGCACAGCATTATTCAACAATGGACTAAGTTGTGGAGCTTGTTTTGAGATCAAATGTGACAATCAACCACAATGGTGTCATCCTGGAAGTCCTTCTATTTTAATTACTGCAACTAACTTTTGTCCTCCAAATTATGCATTGCCTAATGATAATGGTGGTTGGTGTAACCCTCCTCGTACTCATTTCGATCTCGCCATGCCTATGTTCCTCAAGATCGCGGAGTATCGTGCTGGTATCGTCCCTGTTGTTTATCGTAGGTAAGCGTTTTTTCAAACTTTGTATATGTTATGTTAACTGATAACTCGATAAAAATAAGATTTTTTTATTTTTTTACAATGAATATAACTTATGTATATCATATGTATAGTTTTGTTTAGAAAGTGTGTAGATATTCGATATTCAAAATTTATTGATGGACTAATCTGGATTCATGACGAGTAAAGCCATGAGTGGTAAAAGAGCTCAATTAGCTTTTTTCTTTTGTGCTTTTCTTATTTTTTCATTTATTTGTGTTTTCTTTTTCTTTTGTGGGGTCATGTTGAGTTGGTTTCCTTTATTAGTTGTTTGTTATTATCTCCGTCTCGGTGTTTTTATCGAATTTTGAGATTTAAATTATTTTATTTTTTACAGTAAGTTTTTGAATTATCAATCTTTTTACGTAATTTATATATAAATTTCATTTTAAGATTTCACGTACAAATTGTTGATTAAACTTTTACACTGTTTGACTCTTGAAAAACAAAACGTGTTTCATAAATTGGGACGAAGAGAGTACTAGTTATTTTATGTCGTAGGCCATTTTTAACACTTGTCAAAGATGGGTGTGAACTACATTAACTATTATTTTTTTGAGTTATCGAAAATTTAAAGTGAATAAGTAAAAGTGAACGGATGAACGTGCCACTAATGAAAAATTTGAAGCATTTTGTTTTGTGGAAAATTGGGCAACTTGTCTCCATTTGAATGTCAAACACTCCAAACCCCTAGGTGGTGTGAAAAAGTCACAGCCACACTGCTTCTTTTTTTTCCTTTCCTTAATTAACGGTCCATGTTTTATGGTAACATAGGATTTAAATTCTACAACACAATGACCATTTATACATGTTCACATTGAGTACAATTTAACTTTCACACTTTGAGGGTAAATGCGATAGCATAAAAGTTCTTTTACACTGTTATGTTAGCGTATAGAAGTTAAAAGTCACTTGTAATTTGTTTATGCAGGGTGCCATGTAGGAAGCAAGGTGGAATAAGGTTCACTATCAATGGTTTTAGTTACTTCAACTTGATTTTAGTCACGAATGTCGCGGGTGCAGGTGACATTACTAAGGTTATGGTGAAGGGTACGAGGACTAACTGGATAACGTTGAGTCGTAATTGGGGTCAGAACTGGCAAACCAACTCCGTTTTGGTTGGTCAGTCGTTGTCATTCAGGGTTACAGCTAGCGATAAACGCAAGTCTACGTCGTGGAACATAGCCCCATCACACTGGCAATTTGGTCAGACATTTGTTGGAAAGAACTTTAGAGTCTAAATAGGGAAATGAGGCGATCATAACATAGTATGTAAGACTCGTGGTTCATGTACTTTGAGCTTTTATTTTGTTTAGACCCTAATGAATTCGTTTTTAACCTGTGGTTTTTTGTATCTGGTGGTGCATGTAGAAGAGCTGAAGCGGCTGCAGAAATATGCAGCCCGCAGCTGTTCTAAGAACAATGTAGTAGTATCAGTATAATGTTTTGTAGTACTTGATGCTTGAGAAGTGTATTTTACTGTATTTTCAGTAATTTATAGTGATTTACTTTAATCGAAAAAATCTACGTTCTATTGGTCTGTTACACTATGATATTACTCAATTGCAGAACTTTGGAGTTCATTTCTAGTCTTGCTTTAATCCTTGAACTTTGCCTGACAAGCACATGTCGATAGAAGAAACTGGTGTTTAAACTAAACCAACGAATACAACATTCATCACTTCGATGTATCATGAGATTGGAAGGACTAAAATAGATACTAAAATAATGAGATAATGTCATTCAAAATGGAAAAAAAACTTAGTCGCACCTGGTGTTTAAACCAAACCAATGTATATAACATTCATCACTTCGAAGTGATGTATCATCGAGATACTTAGGACTAAAACAGATACTAAAGTAATGAGATAAATGTCATTCAAAATGAAAAGACACATTCTAGATGCTGTTCAATGTTTGAAAGCTTGAGATTACTTTGATACTACTACTACTCAAGTGCACATTTGCTTTTGCAATTCCATAGACAATCTTGGATTCTCTAAAGCAAGTGCTTTGGATTCCTTTCTTTTGAAGGAACCTACTTAAAATGGTTCAATTTCTTTTGTCTAAAATAGATATCACCATAGAGAAAAGGTATAACACGCCATTCGAAAAATGGTACGTAATCTATAAATGCTTCTTCCCAATACTGGTCCTCAACTTCTGGAGAGCAAATGTTATTCCTTCATTGAGGGTAGCTTTCCTTCCTAGCTTATAGTTCCACAGCTCTGTTGTTATGCATCTACCACTGGGACCTTCACTCATTTCCATCAAAGTAGCAGTTACCAAATCATAAGCGGCTTGTCCAAACTCATGCTTCAACCTGTTCAGCCTTTCGTCGTTATCATCAATGATGATTTCCTACCAAAACATAAGAAAGAATTAAGTTGTTAGTATTTTGATTCAAGGGGATAAAGATATGGGAACAACTATAAGTCTATTATGGTGCATTATTACCTTGGAACCATTTTCTCTTGTTACGTCTTTGAAAGGATGCCAATTGGGATCCACAAGATGATGCTCCCAGATTGAGCACAACTGAGTAGCTTTTAAATCTGCATCTGGTCCAAGGAATTTGCTCTTGGTTATCTCACAAAATCTTGTACTATCAAGTTCTCCCATTCTCTTGACACCAATGGAAGCTCGAAAAGAGTGCTGCTTTAATAACTAAATGCCATGAAACAAGTTTCATTTGTCAAAATTTTCATCTTGTAAGAATACTTGAATGTTCAACAACATAGACTATGGTAGGAACTCAGTTAATGGTGCATGGAATTTGTAATAGGTTGAGAATGAAAACTGAACATGTAACGAATTGAACGTGCTATAGTCTGCTCCTAATCATCCTGATGTTCTTACTCCATTGGAGGAAAAATCGTAACCTGAGTCACATTCACAAAATAGATAAGGGTATTGCAGAACTTGAAAGAATTGTACTTACATCAATCAGCTCCTTCCTGGCATCTGTTAACTCAACATTTGCCCGCTGCTCTTTAACAACTAGAGCTTGATTCATAGCATCAAGATCTTCTAGTTCTTCTTTTTTCTCATTTAGGATCTCTTCGATCTCGTCTAATTTTTTCTTCACATCTTGGTCATCTCCCATTTGTTCAGTTACATTCTTGGCACCTGTGAGACGTTCAATCTCCAACTCTAGCGCTTGCTTTAAGTCGAGTTTCTTTTGAAACTCCATGTTCTTATGACGGAGAGTTTCTTTCGCCTTCTGCATGTAAGATTCTCAAGAAGTCAGAGACTAACAACATAAATACATAAATTGAGTAAACACAGCATGAGCTTACAACCTTCTGTTCTTCTGCCAAAGTCAAGACTCTTTCATCATACCTCTTTTGCTCCTCTGCTGCTCTCTCATTCTTAAACACATCAAAGTGAAATTTTACAGTTAAGAAATTCCCAAAATGAAGAATAGGCCTAGACAATATCTGTATATCCATAGACTATGCAATGACAGACAGTATCAACAAAGCTTAACTGAGAACAAAGTTAAAGGTGGCTTAATACTAGATTCTCGTAGCTTCTTTTTTTATTAGTATATCTGCAAGGAAGAAGATTTCAGATGCATGTAAAATACACATGGAAAAATGAGAGTGATGGATGAATGAAGCTTGTTTGAATTGACAGCAAAATCCAGATGAAGTTACTTATTCAGGTCCTTATGCCTATCCACTATCTTAGTTCTACAAAATATGAGCCTATAACATCTTATTTTTGTACCTCATAGGAAGTAGTTTATTCCTCCATATGCTTATATCTCCATTTACTTTCTTGGCTAACCAGTGAAGTCAATCAGTTATACAGCAATTCATATTCTAACTATTTTATGCTAGCTAGTAAACCCCCCCCCCCCCACATCCCCCCCCTCCAAGATCAACCATTTACTAGATGTCATTGGTCCTGCTGGCTATCTTTATCTCTGAAGCCACCAGTACCATATCAACTGCCTAAGACTAAGTCCATAAACTTCATCTGATGTATATACACCTTAACCTTAACTTCACCTTCTATTAAAATATGCCGTTGTTTCTTAGAAAACTTATTAAGTTGTTAAGGGCAGTGTCACACTTAGGACAAAGGAGACAATGGCGGCAAACAATCTCCCATAACATGCATAGAGAAATAAGACTATGTTAATCAAGTAAGACTTTCTACCATTTGCTTCAACAAATGAAGGTCTTGTCTCTGATTATCATTGAAGGCCTCCCTTTCCATCAACTCCTTTTCACGCAACTCAAGTTCTTTGCGTCGTGCTTCAATATACAATTTACTTGTCTCTTGATTCTTTAACATCTTTTCGAGTTGAGCACGAGCATTCTTCTCCATCTTTTGGAAGTCTGTAGGAAATAGAAAGTGTAATTTTAATAAGAGATTACTTTGAAATTCAAACTGTTATGTTAAACTAGCTAAATATGTTCTGTAGGAGAAAATATGTACCTTCATTATACTTTTTGATCATTGCATCTCTTTCATTCATCACATTGCTTAGGCACATTGAAGTTTCATTGCATTTGCTCTCTATCTCCTTGAGGCTCTGACGTTTGGCCTCGATTGTATTAGCCAGACTAGAGACAAGCGAATCAGCTTTGCGCTTCTCTTCTGCCTCAACCTCAGAGATGGATTTTAGATCTCCATTTTTTTGCAGATAGTCACCAATTATATCTGCTGAATTGTAATCATCAGCCTTTGCAACCCAACCATATAATTTATCTCCCTTATATTGTGAAACTAAATAGTCCTTCTTCCCTTGTTGTTGTGATTCATAGCTATTGTGAAACTTGATTGCATTAGCAAATCCCTTCCAATCATTTCCAAATTCGACCACCGCTTTCCCTGAATGACCCTTATAGTTCCACAATGGATGTACCCTCAATGGATTAAACCCTTTCTTTGTCAAATCATTCCTCAGCCATGAGCCACTCCTTCCCACATAACGTCTACCATTCAACTGAACAGGAAGATTTGCTACAATTCCCATCCAAGGAAATGTATATTTCTCATCAACATCATTTCCATATTCATGTGTTGGCTGTAATTCAGTTTCCATTTCATCAGCCACTGGAAGAGAATCTTTGTTCTTCAAGTACATTGTTAGGCCTAAATGCTTCGCCTTATCGTTCAATTTCCTGCGTTGCGACCCACCCTTGCTCACTCCTGAAGAATGTTGGACAAGATCATTGAAGCTGTAAGCCTGCTTCTTTTGTCCAGGACAAAATGGACATTGATAAACTTCACCTGAAATCTTTTCCCTCCCATAACCCTCCTTTAACTTCTGATACCATTTATCAGCACATTCTTCCATCTCTGACTCACTAATATCTGTTTCCTCTTCAGATGACATCTTTCAGATAACCTAAAGCCAAAAAATAAGTTAAACATGAATACTGAAATCTATAAAATTGTTCAGATAACAAAGAGGATAGAACTACCAGACACTTTACATATGGTTGAAGACCAAGAATATACATATGCATACACGGGTTAGGGATAGGGCCGACCACAAGATCTATTGTATACAGTAAAGAGATTATTTTCACAACTCGAACCTAAAAGAAACTTTACCACTTCTCATCAAAACCAAACATCAGAGATAAGGAAACATGTGCAAGTAATTAAACAGAGTTGCACATCACATAAACTAATCAGCTAACTTAGATACATGAAGTTAATCAATAGAGTACCATTTTTGCCTGGAAGAACAATTACCTACAGCAAGAAACAGAGAGCAAAAACAAGATCAAAGAGATACATAGTAAAACCCAGTGTTCACAAACACACTTAGATGGTAAAAATGAACATGAACAAAGCAAATTTTCTGAATTTGACTCAAGTATAAGTGAAAATGGAGAATCAAATATACATTCTTCGGTTATGGATGAAAAACAGGGTTATTGAAATACACACATAGACGGTGAAACTAAACACACATAAACAGCAGCAAAAATCTGAATCTGGCCCTTGTACAGATAACAAATAAAGAGGCATACAATGATACAAAATGAAGATTTAGAGCACAGACACCCCATTCATTTTTTGGGTGAAAAAAACAGAGAAAAAGCATTGTTCAGTATATATATAGTACGTAAATAAACAACAATAAAAGTCTGAATATTCAAAAAAACTGAAATCTAGAGCACAAACACTAGTCCTTTTGCCTGAAAAAAACTGAGTACAAGCAAGCAGAGGAAGAGAGCATTGTTAATGGGAAATAACAGGCACACCCATAGATGAGCGAGATATACGTAAACAAACAGAAAAAATAAGAATCTGAATAACAATAATTAAACAGATAACAGATTCACATTCATAAACACACAGCAAAACACCCATTCTTTTGCGTGAAAAAAAAAACAGAGAGAAGTAATTTTTTTTTTTAAAAAAAAGAGGGGTTGTTGATAGAAACAAAACAAGCAATATTCAGTATAGTACGTAAATAAACAATACTGG